CATTCTGTAGCCCTGATGCTTCTTCGTTCTTCACCACAGGGACAGTATCATCCACAGATAATACATTGTTTGGTAAAAGTTGACCAATCACAGTCACACTGACTGAATTGGCTAAAAAAAAAAACTTTAGAGGTTTAGCTTCCAACTAAAACCTTTAAAAAGCGAAACCTGTGGAGTTTTTTGAGCCAATTCAGCCTGTGCGACTGGGGTTGGTCAACTTTTTCTATGATGCTCCAAGAAAGCAAGACAGGTTTTCGATATGTATTGTTTATTTATATGCTCACATGCAGAACAAAACAGATGAGAAGCATTAAATTAATCGGAGCCAAAAGGGCTATCCTCCCTCTGCTGAGAACGGTCTTCCTAATTGTGCTACTTTAATGTCTGTGGTGGTGGCAAGTTTCGGCGTCCTGAAAAGGGCTATCCTCCCTCTGCTGAGAACGATTTTGCTACTTTAATGTCTGTGGTGGCGGCAAGTTTCGGCGTCCTTCCCGCTCTTGCTTGCGCGTTACTCCTTCGCCCACAAACTGCAACTTCGGCCTCGGCGGCGACAAGGATTTGCCGCAGCACACGTCGTCTTCTCAAGCCCTCAAAATGCAAGTTTGCGATATCCCCTTTAGCCAATCAAATCACGCCGTTTCGTCGTATTACCATGGAAACGAACCTCCAGCCAATCAAGCGGCAAAACTCGAACGCAGCTCGTTCCTCACCTGCCCGGATAAGAGTATTGGGATCAGCCAATAGAAAGCCGTGGCAAAGTTAACCCACGCCCCCTTTTTTTCCCCGATTGGGTCACGTGGCAAGGGAGAAGCGGAGGGGGGAAACTGAGGCGAAAGCGCAGCCCTGCATTTCCGGCTCCCGATCGATGCAAAAGAAGTTCCCTTGGTGTCGATATTCCAAGGAAAAGCAGACTTAGCCTAAGGCTAAAATCTCGGTGTCCTCCAGTTGAGCTGGCCTCGGTAGTCGAGCCAGTAGGGAGGGCAAGTCTTTGGAGGGAACAGCAAGGCGGGAGTCGGCCGGCTCCACCTTTGCGGAGAAAGAGGGGGAGGTAGTGGTAGTAACGTGTGGATAAGTTAGGGTAAGCTATACCATTTTGGAGGGATCTTGGGGAGATTCGCCCTTTTGGTTCCTCTTCATGCAGCTACGTTGTCCTTCCAGGTACAGCGCGAACACAGCTGAGAGCAGTTTGGTGTGAAAGAAGGGGCGCGGGGGGCGGGGAAGAGACGTTGGCATTCCCTCTGCCAGCCTTCAACTCCCGGCAAGCCTAGCTGGCAGAGGGAATGGTGAAGGATCATGGGAGCTGTAGTTAAAAAAAAGAAAGAAAGAAAAATCCAGGCATGCCAAAGCAGGCGACAGGGGTGAGAAAAAGCAAAGTTGGAGGCTGGGGAGCGGGAAAGCCTAGAGAAAGGCATGCTTGGAACGTTGAACAGAGCAATTTGTCAAGTATTAGAAATGGAAACGAACCAAAGGACTCCAGGTGGAAGGGAAGTGACTTACAAAAAGGAAGAATGCCTGATAAAAGTCCCCAATGCACTTGACTTAACAAGACCACCTGTGTCATTTGGTCATGGTCACAGAACTGCAGAAGAGGCCTTAGGGATTCCTATCAAGGGGAAATCCCAGTGGGGGGAATCGAACTCCCAGACTCTAGCTCCGTGACCAGATTCTCTAGTCCTTACCCTCGGGTAATCATGAGCAGGATTTCAGATGCCTCCCTGAGATGAGTAACCATAAATATGTGCTAACCTGATAGCCACCTTCCTAGCGCTGTCTAGGTATAGAAGAAAGGTTTACTAGCTGTCCTTCTGGTGTGGCACTCTAGGACCTTAAGGGTGGCAGGGCCCAGGGCTGGCTTCTCTCTCCAGCAGCCACTGTGCAGACTCAAGCTCAGGGCACTTTGTTATCTGTTGTCTAGTTGCATCTGATTTATATACAGTATGTGTGACCTCAGAGACTTTTGAAGGTATGTGAGATATTTGAAGAGGGATTGTCACACACCCAGTGGGTTTCCATAGCCAAATTCAGACTGAATCCTAGTCTGCCATTCTGTCTTCTGTATATCCTGGCATCTGGATGCTGGGGCTCAATGGTGTCCCAACTGAATTAACCTACTAACACAATGGCTCGTTTGAACTCTATCATACGGTCTTGACATAAGAACCCCAAAAGTGATCTGTTGGATTGGACCAAATCATGTACCCATTCCAGAGTTCATTTTCCAAATATTCAGCTTAGTATTTCTAGGGAGATGTCACACAACAGCCCTCTAATTGCCCCAGAGTTAGACTGCCTCTGAATACCGAATTTGTTCATGCAATGACAAATTGCCGCTGATAGATTCGTCTTCCCTGAATGTATCCAGCACACTTTAAAAACCATGCACACCTTTAGTGGCTAGAAAGGTACAAGTTAATATTTTATTGTGTGAAGCACTTTCCTGTATACACTTTTTATTCTACCTCAATTGATTTCACTGGATCAAAACCAGACAAATTTACCCTTCCTATCATAAGATCAAGTCTTTTCATTCGGCTCAGAGATAAGGGTGTGAAGCCATATACAGAATCTAATTTACAAATATATTTGCACAAACCAGGACTGGGTTTCTCAGGAGTAAACATAGCAAAGAGATTCAGTTCCCTATTTATGTGGAAGTTGAGTCATGGCAACTGGACTTCAAGAATACTTTAAAAAGGCAAAGTTACCTAAAAATCCTAAAGCTCATAAGAAAATATTAAATGCAAAAATTACAATGGAGAAAATAACAGAAGCAATTTAAAAAATCACTAGCGCCGGATGGATTACTATAAAATATTTTAAGAGATCCTAAGTAACCCCATGAAAGATATCTATAATGAGGTGTTACAAGAAGAAAAAACACCAAAATCCTGAATGGAAGCATATATTACTTTGAATCCTACAGAAGAGAAGGAACTAGAAGCAATAGAAAACTAGAGGCCAATGTCACTATTGAATGTGGACTACAAAATTATAGTGACAATAATGGCAAATAGGCTGAAAAAATATCTAGGGGAGTTTATTCATCCAGATCAAAATGGATGTTTACCTAAGAGACAAATGAGACATAACTTGAGACATAATGGATATCTTTGAGTACTATGAAACACACCCAGATAAACAGATGGCCTTATTATTTCTGGATGCACAGAAGGCTTTTGACAACATAAATTGGAAATTTATGCGGAAACAACTCAAAAATAATGGACTTTAGTCAATAGTTCATAAATATGATAAATGCAATTTATGAGCAACAAATAGCAAAGATAATAGTCAATGGAGAATCTACAGGAATAGTTGAGATCCAAAAAGGAACTAGGCAGGGATGTCCCCTATCTCCACTGTTGTTTATTTTGAGATTGGAAATACCACATAGAGAGATAAGACGAAGAAATAAAAGGGACCCAAATTAAAAATGAAAAGTACAAATTGCAAGCCTTTGTGGATGATCTGGTCTTTATATTAGAAAACCCATTACAGTCAACTCCAAAATTACTGGAACAGATTGAAAATTTTGGAGAAATAGCGGGATTGAAGATAAACAGAGGAAAAACTAAACTAATTGTAAAAACCATGATGGATATAATTTTTCTTGTAAACAGAAAAATCTCCTAACAGAGAAGACCAAGCTTCAAATAGTTAAGAGAGTTAAATACTTGGGAATTTATCTGACAGCCAGATGCTCAACAATAAAAAAAAGAGAATTACGGGAAGCTATTGAATGAAATAAAGCAGGATCTAGAAATATGAGAGAACAGACAGCTATCATTTCTAGGAAGGATTGCAAGTATAAAAATGAACATACTACCAAAAGTACTCTTTCAAACAATTCCAATAAAGCTTAACCAGACATATTTTGAGGAACTGCATAAATTAACACTAAGAGTTAGTGGTCAACAACAACAACAACAACAACAACAAAGCAAGGATAAAAACCAAATTACTGCAGGAGGCGAAAGAAAGAGGAGGCTTTGGGCTACCAGATTGGATACTGTACTACAAAGCTTCAGTTTGTGGTTACCTTTATTGCAAATTCAATTACGGTGATATATAAAGAGAACTCTAGAATTATTACTCTCTACAGAAGATAAGCTAGTTAAAAATATCTATAAATTCCTCTTAGAAATGAAAATGGAAGATGAACAAGTGAAAGAAACAATGATACATTGGGCTAAAAATCTTAGTCATACAATTCAGCTAGAAAAGTGGGAAAAGTTATGGAGTGATAATTGTAAATTAACCTTAGCAACAGCATATAAAGAAAATTTATACAAAATGTTTTACAGATGGCATTTACCACCGACTAGAATAGCAAAAATATTCCCAAATGTTTCCAATAGGTGTTGGAAATGTAAAAAAAAAACATGAGGGAACATATCATGTATGGTGGACTTGTGAAAAAGCAAAAAAAAAAAAGGGTTAAAATGCACTGTTGGATAAAAAAATAATTAAACTGAATATAGAACTCAAACCACAGCTGTTTTATTAGATATTATGCCAGAGAATATTAACAAACAAGATAGCTATATTATATATATATTGATGACAGCTAGAATAGTATGGGCTCAATTTTGGAAAAACGAGGTAATGCCATTAGAAGAAATAATTATACAAAAAAATCTTAAGGTTGTGCAGAGATTGATAGATTGAGGAGGAATTGGGGAGGAAAGCAGGTCTGTTTCTGGTTTCCATGCAGGCAGAGTCAAGTCATAGCTAAGTGATTTGTTAATATATTTATGATTTTTAATCTATTGTAATAATTTATTGGTTTGTTGTTCTGACTTGAGGTCACAGAACACATACACACCCAAGGAGACCTCAGACGGGGAAGGATGACATCTTTTGTGATGCTTTTCAGACACCTTTGCTCGTCTATGTAACCTTTGCTTTATATGTAACAATGTTTCCTTCACCTTTTAAAAGACCCCCCCCCCTCATCCCTTCCAGAAATGCATACATGGTTGCCCTTTTTCCTTTATTCAACGCGGCCTTGAGAACCCGCCGGCCCTTTTCCCGGAGCGCAGCTCCTCCGGGTTCCTACCCTCCTCCTGGTCAAACGCAAGTCAACGGGGTCCGGCCGGCCCTCTGGGCGTCCGGCAGAGCTTTTCAGGCCAGCCTCCTCAGGCACGCCTTCGACCTCCTTCGGCCCCTCCCGGGCCCTGACGCTTCGGGGGGCGAGGCTGTGGCCTCCGTTGCACTGGCAACGCCGGGCCGCGGGCTGGCCTGGGCTGGGCTGGGCTTGGGGCGGCGGCGACCATGGCCATGGAGTCTTCCCTCCTGCAGGTTTGTTCCGGGGCGCGGCGGTGCTCGTTCCCCTCCCCAACCCCCGACCCCCTTCTTTCCTCTGCTCGATGGGGCCCGCCGTGGCGGCTTCGCTCTCCACTCGGGAGGCGATGCAAGTCCCGCGCCCGTCGTCCCCCCTCCCGCGTCTCGCCTCCCTCTTTGGGAAGAGCCCCCGAGATCCCGGGAAACAAAGCGACGAGGAGCCGGGCGCGAGAGAGGCCCACTGCCACTCCTTCCTTGCCAGGCTTTCTTCCCCCCCCCCTTTTCTTCCCAAAGTCTCCGAAGTGGAAATGGGGCTTGGTGCGAGAGGAGCAGCAGCAGCCGCCGCGAGCTGCCGGGGTGGTGCCCCCCCCCGCGTGGAGCCCTGGGGGGAAGTCGGAGCCCCTCCTGATCCGAGGACGGGAGGGAGGGAAGGAGGGAAGGAGAGGTGGCTTTTCTCCTCAGGCGCTTCCTTCCCATGGGACGCTTCAAAGCCGAGACCAGCTGAGGAGTGGGGCATTTTCCGCTGGTGGAGCTGGGCTCCCCACGACTGGACGGAGGGGGGGGCTCCCGAGTTGAACGTCTGCACCCCTGCCTTGTGTTTGCGTGTCTCTTGAAACACCAGCCTTGGAAAATGCTGTCAAGAGGGCAGCACCATTCGAAGTCCTCCTCTGGAAGTGCCCTTCAGCAGCATATTGGGTATACTGTATATTGTTTTCCAGGACAGCTTAACATTTGCATCAGGTGCTAATGAATTTTCCTGTCCAGTGTTCAGCTGCAAAAGGGTGCTGTGTTCTAGGATGTACCACATTTATGGAAGATAATAGTGAGGCCTTTATTTGGCACCTTTGTTTGCCTCAGAACATTCTCAGAACCCTTGGTAAAACATTGAGATAGGACAGGTTTCCTCCACAGACAGATTGATGTAGTTTTGGAGAAATCTCATCTGTTTTCTACCCTTACGTCTGAAGCTTTGACTCCCCCTTTCAAGGTTGCCCAGGGTGGTGAAAATTGGGTTGGAACTGGAATAAAGATAATTGGACCTGCCAGCATGCTAGAACAAAGAGTAGCTAAGTAAAATATGAGGAAGGAGTAAAGAGAGAGTTCGAAGGCAAATAGTGCTGTGGGGTTCAAAGCAAATATCAAAAGTCAGTCCAAAGACAGAGGTGGGTGGCACCTTTAATAGACAATTTTAAAAAGCACAAGTAGAAGCTAGCTTTTGACCCCTTGGATGTCTTCATCAGGGTGGACATGACAAAGTTGTAGATGGTGCTGGAAAAACATACACATTCCAAAGCGTTGTTTGTCCTGCACCATATACACAGAACTCTGGTACCCAGCTTAATGAAAACCTGTACAGGAATCAAAAGTTAGCCTCTCTGATTTTTTTTAGTGGTCTAATAAAGGAATAGACCTCAACAGATGGGAAACCTTGACATCTAAGTGTTCAGCCTGGAGGCAGGCAGTGCATCACGGCCTCTCCCAATTTGAAGAGAACAGGAATCAAAAGTTAGCCTCTCTGATTTGTTTTTTTTTAGTGGTCTAATAAAAGTATTACCCACTCTTACTCTTACCATTGGGTTGTGCATGAGGACCACATGGTTGATTTTTCTTTTTTAAAAAAGTCAAGGTTTTGTTACCTGAAACAAAGAATGTTATGTTTTCTTTGTGTACGGCAGCTTTGGGGGAACATACGACTTCATATACAGTATAGCCGTGGTATAATTCCCATCAGTGTGGAAGAGATTGTCACTCTCGAATTGGCCTCCTCAGCCACACTAGACGCTGTTCCAAGTCCTCCATACAGAGCACATTACCATAGTATTTCGAGACTGAAGGATGCCTAACTAATAAAGGTATTACCCACTCTTACTCTTACCATTGAGTTGTGTATGAGGACCACATGGTTTATTTTTCTTTTTTTAAAAAGTCAAGGTTTTGTTACCTGAAACAAAGAATGTTATGTTTTCTTTGTGTACGGCAGCTTTGGGGGAACATGCGACTTCATATACAGTATAGCCGTGGTATAATTCCCATCATCCCCAAATATTGGCCATACTGGGCAGGCTGATGAGAGTTGGAGTCTAGTGACATTTGGAGAGCTGCTGGTTCGCCACCCTCGTGTAAAGGGACAGTGTTTCAAAGCAAGACAGCCATAGGATTTTTGTGATATCAGTTAAACAGACTAGGTGTGGAATGCACCAGAGGGCCTGGGGGCAAATTTTCCACAAACACTGTGGAACTACTTTGAGTCACACCACTTGTTCCCATCCAGACTGGAAGTGTGCAGGAATTTGTTCTGATTTTTTTTTTAAAAAAAAAATTAATTCCCGTTTTAAAAAAAGACAATAACATATGTAGGTCATTTAACATGTCAACAGCAACTGTTTTCTGGGTGGCTTGGTTCAGGGATTCCAGAAACACATGGAGGCATTTGTGCCCTTGAGCCATGGGTTGCGAACGCACAAGGAAAGAGACAGCTCATTTGAGGGGGAGGGCTGAGTACCAGTGGAAGCTCATCTCTTTGGCAAGTGGGTTGGTACCTCCCCCCCCCCAGCCTCAAGCTAGCCCTGGCTGGCCCACTCCTGCTCACAGATGGTTGCGGCCCTACTCCTGGGTGCTTCCTCCTGAATTCCCTGCCTGGCATTCTGGGTATGAGAGTGTGAGAGAAAGAGGAAGCAGGAGAGAAGAGAGAGAAGCAGGAGCAGAGGGTATCCCTCCTAATTCAGAGCAAAGTGTGTACTCCCTACTTCTGTGTGAATGTCTGCTTATCTCTATGGGTGAGCACTTTGAGTCTCGTAAGCAGGAGCAGAGGGTATCCCTCCTAATTCAGAGCAAAGTGTGTACTCCCTACTTCTGTGTGAATTGCTTATCTCTATGGGTGAGCACTTTGTGTCTCATCTGCAAAGTACAGGCACCAGTGTGTCTGTCACCCCTTGTTCTGGCTGCCATCAGCTACTGTGCCTCCCACCTCACTAGCCACAGAGTGGACACCAGACACCATTGTTGTGCTCTGAAGGTGACCCTAAAGCTTCACAAAGGAGGAGGACAAAGGTCTTTTTCTTTCTTCTTTCCAGGCAGGAGAGGAAATACCACTGGACATCACCTTCCCAACCTCCTTTTTTTCCTCCCCCTCCTTTCCTAGTGTGCTCATTTATTTATTGTGTTAACCTAAATAACCACTTCTTTTTAGGCTTTGATTAATTACTACTGCCAGGAAGGATACTATCGACATGTTCAAACCGTTGCTAATGAAGGCCTTAAGACGTTTGGCGGTGACCCGGTATTCGTTTTCTACCGTATTTATGGGATATTGATGGAAGGTAATCATTTAGTAAATGTCTCCTGAAAGTTGTTGTTCTCCAAAGGCAGGACTGCTGTTCAGATTGCTTTTGAACTGTAAAAATCAGCTCAATTTCGCAAAAGCAATATGCATATTTATTTTGAAGTAACTTCCCTTCTTGTGACCAAATCTTGGTCCCAGCAAAATGGTGATATGATGGCTGTCTCCCATTATTGCATAGTCATTGCCCCATGTTAAATATTTCCCATGGTAGTATATAAAAAGGAAAAAGAATATTTTGTCCTAAAGTAAAACACCTGAACATGGTATTTTGTGGCAGGTAGTAGGTGTGTGTCATTCACTTTGTTTGAATGGGAACTTGCAGAATTCTAGAATTCCCCAGCCAGAATTCTGGGAGTTCTAACCTAAAAACACACAGCTAGAGACATGTTTATTTCACTCACCTGGACAAGGCTGAAGCTGCTTTCTAGGCCTTCTTTTCCTGCTATACTGCTTCCAGGGAGGAAGCTGCTGCGGTGTTTCCTGGGGTGGTAGTCTCATTTGCCCTAATGGTCTATAGAGTGCACCACTTGAAGAACCAGCACCAGGAAGTATTGCAGCAGGAAATCAATTGACAAAGGTTGAAGGAGGCCTCAGCCTTGTCCAGGTGACTGAAATGAAGGTTTCTGCAAGTATGTTTGTGGACAGGAATTCCCAGAATTCTGCATGGGGCATTCTGGCATAATTCTGAGAGTTGGCATCCAAAACAGACCACACACAGCACCATCCCACCCCTATTATGTAGTTTCAGGTTGTGGGTGTGGGGACACCAACCCTACTGTCGCTTAGTCTATGGAATTCATTGTGGGAGGCTTGCTTTTAACCTGCTTTCTTCCTTTCCACTTCCATCTTCACAAGAATCCAGTGAAATAAGTCAGGCTGAGATAGAGTAACGGATGCAGGGTATACCGTTGGGATTTGTGGCTCTGAGAGGACTAGAACTTGGATCTGCCAAGTCTCCACTGAAGACCTAAATTCAGTTACTCAATTACAGTAGACTCATAGGATGAATACAGTTTATGTAGGTGTTGAGCTGTCATTCAGTAATGAAGTCAATAGACCTGGTTTGTACTGGCAGTTGGATTGAGGCACAGCACTCTGATCACTATACCACACTGGCTCTCCTCTTCTGTCAGGATTATAGAAAATGAGGGTATTATGCAACCTTAGAAGTTTATGGAGTTATTGACAAATGCTTGGGAATAACATTTGTTTGTGTAGATATCTATGTATAGTATCAGTATATGGAGTGAGAAACTGGTAAGAGTGATATTAAAAATACTTAACAATTGAGTTGAGTACACTGCCTGAAGTGGATATGGGAAATAGCACCACATACTGTCTTGAACTTGTTTCCCCAGGACACATTGAAGAAGCTCTTCTTGATCTCGAATCTATTAAAAACAGGCAAGAAATATCCCTTTGCACTCTAATGGCATTGATCTATGCCCATAAAAAGAAGCCAAATCCAGGTATAGTTCCTGTCATTTCTATGATTAATGAAGCTGCGCAGACCCTGAACAGCAACATAGTTGTGTGCAGTGAATTGTTATACTTCCTTGTTTCTGTTCCCCCTCTCCCCCAGATTAATATGAAAATCTTAGAAGGAACTGCAACAAAATGTTACCCCATGTCCTAAATGTCCTGCTTAGTTTGGCAATCTGAGGGTGGGTTAAAAGGCTTTTTGCTGTACTTTGCCATGAGTGTGTGGATACCTCCCTGCTTTATGTTTCTCTGGGACTCCGTAAGGACGTCATTTCTTTTGGCTCTGATTGTTATTTGAGGAAGTGGTTGTAACCTGTCTTGAGCTTTGTGGGTTGGGTGCAATCCAAAGGGGCTTTGGGGTGGGTGGGTGCAGTCTAAGCGCTATAAACATTGCAGTCATCTGCTGCAGGCAGACACAAGCCATGAACATTCGAGCAATTGTATTTAGTCATCCACAGTTTAGAATAAGTCTTGAACTGTAACTCCTCAAATTCTGTGACCAGTATGGTCAGTATGGGCTGTGGGTTTCTGGGTCTTGCAGTGGAAAGAGGTCGTTTCTCCAAAATCTGATTACATTTGCTATTTGGTTGTGCTGCCTCTCCCCTTAGTGACAATTCGCTGCCCTTTCCTTGTTCTTTGTCAATTGTGTGGTCCTTTTAATGGAGCAGATTTGGTGTGTGGAATATCATGCTTTCTGGCTACTAACCAGAAATTCCACTTCTCCTTCTGGAATATTCATCTGCTTACCTTTAGACAATCTTGTTGGATGTGACACTGCCTTGCAGAAATCTTGATCCTTCTTCCCAAAAGCTCTGATCTATCCAAGGAGTTATAGGATCCTTTGGTCTATGACTAAAGATGCACATTTCACTGGTCCAGCTGATGGGATCCAAGCTGTAAGCAGTCAGGTTTGACATATAGGAAGGAGATTTTTGACTGTACACTAGGAAGAAATTCTTGGTGGCATGAGCTGTTGCACAGCTTGGATGGCTGTCTTTCAGGGCAGCTGTGACTGGGCATTTCCTGTTGTAGTGGTTACTGGGCCAGGTATCCCTTCCAGCTCTGTGATGATGTGATTTACTTTCCTTGCCTGCTAGCATTTTGGTTTTTTTCTTATGTAACATTTTGCAGCCAAACTGTAGTAAACTGACAGCGCTGTTCGGTGATGGCCCGTTTCTGGAAGCAAGCTGCACGATTTGTATCATCGTAACATAAAATGTCTGTGGGTCTGTTTCAGATCGAGAAGTAATCTTGGAGCTAGATGCCAAACTGAAAGAGCACCGTAAGACTGCAGGACAGGAGGCTTTGTATTTTGCTGGCTTATTCTTGTGGCACATTGGCCGCCATGAGAAAGCCCGTGAATATATTGACAGGATGATCAAGATCTCCAGTGGCAGTAAAGAGGTAACCCATTTCCCATAGTCATGCTTCATATTTGAAAGTCGGGTTGCTGTAAAGCGAGACTTGCTAGCCCTTAGCTATATGTTGAGTCATCCTACAGATCATAGCCGATTATGAGTGCTTCATTTAACACTCAAGAAATCTTTTGGCGGAATCAGTACTGTTGAAAACTGGCCTGATGGTTTTCTCTTTAGTTAGCTGCGAAGCATGTCTGGTTCATTAAGTGAAATGAGTCACTGGCCAGTAGCGTTCTTGGAGGCAACTCAACGATCTAATGGCTCTGGATCACAGATGTTTCCTATGCTTTCTTTTTATGCTTAGATAGAAATGTCTCAATGGTACGTTCCATGGTCATATCTAGCAATCGCTTTGCCTTAGTGCAAAGTGCCTCCATTCATGCAGTCTAATTTGGGACAGCTGTTTTTTCACTCATTTCTGTCCCTCCCACCTACAAGAAGCCTCTGGGCCTTACTTACATCCTATTCCATTCAGAGAAAGAGATTTATGTAAGTTTTGGAAAAATGCTGACTGTATTTTTTAACAAATCTAGAATGTTTCTATACATGAATGAGCCCCACTGAGTTTTATGAGATTTGCTCTCAAGAGTGCTTCTATGGGTTTGTAACCAAAGGCATTTGAATGAAATTATTTCATCATTATTGCTGTTCTTACAGGGAGTGATTTTGAAAGGATGGCTTGATGTCACCAGTGGGAAAGAAGCAAGTATTAAGAAAGCTATAAAATATTTTGATGAAGGGTTGCAGAGTGGATATGATGTCTTTGGCTTGATGGGTAAGGTAAGGCTACACTGAAATTAGCTTTTAATCCTATCCCTTTACACAGCAAACACCTAGATATGGAATTTTCAAGTCCTATGAGATTACTCACCTCCAGCATGAGAGTGAGACAAGAAATCTCCCATCAAGTTTTTTTCCAATTTTCACAAAAAAAGCCTTTGGAACAGTTTATGTAAAACTGATGTATTTCTCTTTAAGAGAAAGAGATAGATAGATAGATAGATAGATAGATAGATAGATAGATAGATAGATAGATAGATAGATAGATAGGTAGGTAGGTAGGTAGGTAGGTAGGTAGGTAGGTAGGTAGGTAGGTAGGTAGGTAGGTAGGTATATATATAGGTAGGTAGGTAGGTAGGTAGGTAGGTAGGTAGGTAGGTAGGTAGGTAGGTAGGTAGGTAGGTAGGTAGGTAGGTAGGTAGGTAGGTAGGTAGGTAGGTAGGTAGGTAGGTAGGTAGGTAGGTAGGTAGGTAGGTAGGTAGGTAGGTAGGTAGGTAGGTAGGTAGGTAGGTAGGTAGGTAGGTAGGTAGGTAGGTAGGTAGGTAGAAAAAAGTGCCCCCTCCCTCCCCTTAGAGGCTTCTGGAGGGGAAAAAGGGTCAGAAACTTAAAAATAAATAAAAGAAAGTCACTTACCAGGCCTTGGTAGCCCCCAAACAGCAGGAAAAAGAGCAGGAAACAGCTAAAAGCCCACACCAGAAGGGAGCCTGGCAGCCATTTTGTGCTTTTCCCCGCTCCTGCACCCTTCTCTCCCCGCCTATCAGCTGATCGGCTGGCTCTGAAGAGGCTTGGGGAGGCTTGCTCAGCACCTAAAAAGCCTGCCTGTGTGTCTTTGTGCTGAAAAAATCAGCACAACATGCTTTAAAACATGATTTAAAATTGGCTTCGTTGAAAAAAAAAAGATTTCTAAAGTGCTTTGCAAACTGTTCCCTGCCTCCCCCCTCCTTTCCTGAACCTAAGGGGAAAAAAGAAAAATATCCCCCCTCTAGTGGCACCAGGCGGAATAGCAGCTTCCCATTAGTTTCTAGGGATGGAAAAGAGCAGATACAGATTAAATGGTTTTCAATGCATTCCTATGGGAAATCCAGATTCGACCTAAGAACTTTTCGACCTAAGAACCACCTTCCAATATGGATTAAGTTCATAAGTCGAGACCCCACTGTACAGGAGACCACACAGCAGCTATTGCAGTTTTACAATTTGCGTGGGTTAAATCTTTTACTCAGATTATTCAATTTGTGTAGAATTTGCAAGTCAAGAGCACCAGAACACATAATTCAGTGTCACAAGGTGAAGGGGGGGGGATGTACCTCCTTATTCTTTCCTGTGAAGAAAAGACTAGCATCTCTGTCATTGATGCAAGTTAATCCACTAGAGATCCCTGTACACAAAGTCTGAGGAGCTTGATGTGAGTCTTATGATAAATGGATGGAGTTAAGTTATGAGGAGCACTTGACAATGTTTTGGATGTCTGCCCTTAAAATCCCCCAGTGGCCATGCTGGCTAGAAAAGGCAATGAGCTGTAACCCAAAAAAGTAACTTTGCCAAGCTTGGGTCCTGAGCATAGAATTTACTGTTGATTAAATAATACACGAATGTGGGTCTAAACAGTTTTCACGTAATTCCAGAATGTATCCCAGCCTTTTTCAGTAGTCTAGTTTTGATGATGAGTATAGATGCAGAATGTAGGCTGCCTTTCATGTGGAGATCTGCCTTAGATTAATTTTCAACCAAGATCCCATGAATTTGTCCTTCTTTTTGCCAACCCCATATCGGTTCTTTTTAGTTCTTTTTGCATGTCTGCCTTGTTATGAACACTGAGGGTGGCAAGCAGCATTTTAGGTGTATATTTGGGTCCTTTAACCAAATGTATCCCAACAATGAACTGTGCAGGTATCACCACGTGGTCTTCAATGATGATGAAATATTGAATCACAGTGTGGTGTGCCATGATCTCCTTACCAAGCGTGGTGGGAAAAGGAGACATTTTGAAAGATCTGGGGTCAGATAAACCCTTAGTTACTATAGTGAAAGGCATTATTTATTTCACATTTTGAAAATACATTCACTTTGATAGGGTTTTTTTGCAGTGATTTTGTTTTACTGAAGAAAGAGAGTTGTGAATTCATTGCTGCTCATCTTTAGTATTATCATAATTATAAACTATTTTGTGTCTCACCCTTCTTCATTAGAGTCAATGATGGGTATTCGTTTACCTTAAAAACACACACAGTTAAAATACAGGTTACAGATATTTTAAATGACACATCCAAAACCACAGATTACAAACCTCTAGAATTAAAAATATCTAAAATTTAGGTCACAGCATCTCCTAAAATGATAGCAAAAGCAGTTGTTGTTTAGTCATTTAGTCATGACCCCATGGACCAGAGCACGCCAGGCCCTCCTGTCTTCCACTGCCTCCCGGAGTTGGGTTAAATTCATGTTGGTCACTTCGATGACACTGTCCAACCATCCCATCCTCTGTCGTCCCCTTCTCCTCTTGCCTTCACACTTTCCCAACATCAGCATCTTTTCCAGGGAGTCTTCTCTTCTCGTGAGATGGCCAAAGTATTGGAGCCTCAGCTTCAGGATCTGTTCTTCCAGTGAGCACTCAGGCTTGATTTCCTTTAGAGCGGATAGGTTTGTTATCCTTGCAGTCCAGGGGACTCTCAAGAGCCTCCTCCAGCACCACAATTCAAAAGCATCAATTCTTTGGTGGTCAGCTTTATTTATGGTCCAGCTCTCATTTCCATACATCACTACTGGAAAAACCATAGCTTTGACTATGCGGACCTTTGTCAGCAAGGTGATGTCTCTGCTTTTTAAGATGCAGTCTAGATTTGTCATCGCTTTCCTCCCAAGAAGCAGGTATATTTTAATTTCGGGGCTGCTGTCCCCATCTGCAGTGATCATGGAGCCCAAGAAAGTGAAATCTGTCACTGCCTCCATATCTTCCCCTTCTATTTGCCAGGAGGTGATGGGACCAGGGGCCATGATCTTAGTTTTTTTGATGTTGAGCTTCAGACCGTTTTTGGCACTCTCCTCTTTCACCTTCATTACAAGGTTCCTGAATTCCTCCTCACTTTCCGCCATCAGAGTGGTATCATCTGCATATCTGGGGGTGTTGATATTTCTTCCGGCAATCTTAATTCCGGCTTGGGATTCCTCCAGTCCAGCCTAGCTGGGGGAACAATATACCGCCTTGTCGTACTCCTTTCCCCATTTTGAACCAATCAGTTGTTCCATAGCCAGTTCTAACTGTTGCTTCCTGTCCCACGTATATGTTTCTTAGGAGATAGATAAGGTGGTCAGGCACTCTCATTTCTTTAAGGACTTGCCATAGTTTGTTGTGGTCCACACAATCAAAGGCTTTTGCGTAGTCAATGAAGCAGAAGTAGATGTTTTTCTGGACCTCTCTGGCTTTCTCCATAATCCAGCGCATGTTAGCAATTTGGTCTCAAGTGCCTCTGCCTCTTCGGAATCCAGCTTGTACTTCTGGGAGTTCTCGGTCCACATACTGCTGAAGCCTACCTTGCAAAAGCAGTACGGGGAAGCAAAAAACAAAGACCACTCTTGCTTATTTGCTGAAAACCTGTAGAAAGAGATATGTTTCTAACTGGTATTTTGAAGACTAATTTGTGGAGGATGGTTAGATTTCTGACAGGAGTTCTATAACTGAGGGCCCATCATTGAGAAAGCTTTGCAACTGACGGCAGTCATGTGGGCCACAGTACGAGATAAGCAGAGTTTCCTCAGATGGTGTTAAATCCCAAGAGGTCTGGTAATCAGTCAGGTAGTGTGTCATGTACCTGGGTCCAGAGCCACTTAGAAAATTGTCTTAACAGCTTGGATTCAGTTTGGTGGCTTACAGACAGACAGTGCTGAGGTTTCAGAATGTAACATCCTTGGTCCTAGCTGCATCATCACAATGTCCTCTGCACCATCATCAAGGGAAAACCCATGTAGGATGCATCACAGTAGTTTGATCAAGAAGTTATTAGCAGATGGCAGATCAATCTTAGCTGGCCATAAGCACTCTCTGTCGCTGAGGCCCCCTGTCCTAGCATCTAGGAATACTCTTTTGAGCAGGAACAGCAGAGCACTTGGCTTTAACTTACTTCTTCAGATTACAAAATCTATTTCTATATGTTTTAGCCCTGGAATCATGCTGTGAACATAGAAAGAGCTGTATTCTATAGGAAATATTTCCTTTCCACTTGAAAATGTGCCTGTTCTCCCAAAAAGGAAGGTGATAAAGTGATTACGTCCATCTTTCATCAGGCGCAGTATTTTGAAGTGCGACAGAATTACTCAGGAGCCTTGGAAACTGTGAACCAAATCATAGCCAATTCCCCACATTTCCTACCTGCTTTTATAAAGAAAATGAAGCTACAGCTGGCTTTGCAAGACTGGGAACAGGCAATTGAGACGGCACACAGGTGGTGTATAATTTCTCTTGTTTAGATTAATTAAAATTCCTCTAACATCTGCGTTGCAAAGGTTTTGAGACTGGTTTGTAAAAGGCAGGATGGTACCATCTTGATTTTGCTAGTCAGCAGCTGTGGTGCTTATGGAATTTCCTTCCAGGTAGCAGTTCAGAATTATTGTCAGGTACATTGTCATAATTAAGTGCCTGTCCTTTTTGGTAAAACAAAGATCAAACCAACAAATGATTGTTTTACTTAATCCACTGTCCCTTTGAATTTGAAGAGACAAGCCGAGGCAAAGAGCAAGCCGAGGCCAAGAGGCAGTCCTGAAACCAGCAAAATCAGGTTGCTGGACAGGGGACAGATTGTATTTTTGTCAGTGCGGGAGCTGGACAGGGGACAGATTGTATTTTTCGTCAGTGCGGAAGGGATTGTCGTTCTCGAATTGGCCTCCTCAGCCACACTAGACGCTGTTCCAAGGCCTCTATTCAGAGCACGTTACCAAAGTCTCTTGAGACTGAAGGATGCCTACAATGTCCCTTTTGGGGGGGGGGGGGAACAGAGCTGCTTATTTTTCCACTTTCACATTATGATTTTTCTAATTATTAAACAGGCAAGATTGACAGATTACAACTTAACACAGTTTTTCAGTGGCCCATGGCTATTTTGCAAAGTTTTGGGACTAGGTTCCCAGTAACAGATGATATGGAAAGTTTGAGTAGATCAGATATGGTGGGTGACCAGACATGGGAATTGGTGATGAACAGGCTTTTTTTTTAATGGCATCTCTTTGATGATGAACAGCTTGCTGACAGTAGGAAAAAATAGTTTTCTATGACAATTTCTCTTTGGCCTTGAAATAAAGATTTCTCAATGAATGGGAATTCAGGCATTTTGAACCATCCTTGGAAATTAGGCCATCTTCTGTCTTGTTGCTCCCCGTTTATGCAGCCTGACAAGCAGGCTCACTGGCCCAAAACATGTTCTGTTGTAGCAATAGGCATGCTTCCGGATGGGGCTTTTATTCTGCAGCCACCTTACTTTATTCTTGGAATTTTATGATGTGTCCATGCATCAGTGGCTTCTGTTTGTAACCTTCTTAGGTTTTATCTTTCCCCAGAAAATATCTTAAAGAGGGAAGTATGTAGTCCTCTAACATTAGCTTACAATTAGAAGTGCTGAGGTCCCGAGGGAAGTATCGTACTTCTGCCTGTGATATTATTGTGTTTTTTTTGGGGGGGGGTTAGCAATTAAAAATAATTATAATCCTAATTATTATACAGTGGTGCCCCGCTTGACAATTACCTCTTTATACGACGAAATCGCTTCATGACGATGTTTTTGCGACCGCTATTGCAATTGCAAAACGATGTTTCAAAGGGCTTTGTTCGCTTGACGATGACTGGTCCCCTGCTTTGGGAACTGATTTTTCGCTTAACGATGATCAGAAAACAGCTGATCGTCGGGTTTCAAAATGGCCACCTGCTGTGCAAAATGGCTCCCCGTTGAGTTTAGGAGGGCTTTTTCGCTTTACAGGCACCGGAAAATGGCCGTCCTATGGAGGATCTTCGTTGGACGATGAGGTATTTCACCCATTAGAATGCATTAACCGTTTTTAATGCATTCTAATGGTTTTTTACTTTCGCTTGACGACGATTTCGTTGTACAGCGATTTTGCTGGAACGGATTATCGTCGTCAAGTGAGGCACCGTTGTAGATAATAATTCATTATTATTATCGGATTTAATAATGCTGGGATGTGGTGGCACTGCGGGTTAAGCCACAGAAGCCTCTGTGTGTTGCAAGGTCAGAAGACCAAGCATTTGTAAGATCGAATCCACGTGACAGAGTGAGCTCCCGTCGTTTGTCCCAGCTGCTGCCAACCTAGCAGTCCAAAAGCATGCATATGCAAGAAGATAGGTACCACCACGTTGGGAAGGTAACGGTGTTCCATGTCTAGTCGCGCCGGCCACGTGACCACAGAAACTGTCTATGGACAAACACTGGCTCTACGGCTTGGAGATAGGGATGAGCACTGCCCCCTAGAGTCAGACACGACTGAACTAAGTGTCCTTTACTATAATCCTAAATCTAAATCTTAAAAAAGTAATGTCCAAGCTTTGATTTGAAACTTGGTCATCTCTAACATAAAACGGCAGTGATCATGAAGACACAGCTCCTGTTAAGTTGAGCCACACTTTGTCCTGCAGCGCAAGATGTTTTAATGGGAAATTCTTCTGTACCAGGTTGCTGCAGAAAGATGCTCTGAACCTGGAAGCCATAAAAATTGAGGCTGTTTACCACTTGTGTAGGGAAGGAAAGATACCTGAGGTGAGGCTTTGATATATAATTTTTTTTGTTGAGAGTTGATTTATTGTAGATAATTACTAAATGGCTATTTTGTAGGGTGCTATGAATAAATGAGAAGTATGGATTTTCACTTCCATACTTTTCCATTACATTTCTTCCCTGTAAAATAATGTTTCTTATCTGCTAATGCAGAAAATGATCACTAGCAGAACCATTGTTTACACACCTATTCAGAACGCATCTTGAAATAAACTGCACATTATTCAAAGAAGACTAAGTTATGCTTTAGCATTGCATGCAAACTGTCCATTGTACATTCATGTACAGTCATTTATTGTGTGGGGGTTTCGAAATCAACAGACTCTCCCCTGCCCAATCTGATATTAAGGTTAATGTTTTGCTTTTCCCCCTAGGCTTCATCAAAGTTGGCAGATCTGATTAGCGCATTGAATCAGTTGGAACCCCAGAACCCTCAGCTTTTCTGTAAAACAGCACTGGTTTTTAGCAGAACAGTGAGTAGACTTCTTTTTCTGTTTTTAAATTGTATGCAAGTACCGTGGCCTACATGTCCTTCAGGTTCAAGCCAGTAAGCACCCCATGTCAGTTGTGATATTTTGTTCCTAGCATGGAAGGCCTCTGTCTGTCACAGGCACTTTGAACTGCGCCTTATAGGCATAACTGTGCCTTCATCTAGGAGTTCAAGTATCATTTTACTGGGCCTTTAGGCATTATTAACTAGGTGCTACATGGCTCTCATAGCAAAACTGGGAACAGTTCAGTTTTTGAATTACCGTTTCTGGTCTTCTCTAGCTCTTGTGGCTACTTTTTTCTTTCTGAAGTTTAAGTAGTAGCTTGAATTACCGTTTCTGGTCTTCTCTAGCTGTTGTGGCTACTTTTTTCTTTTTTGCAGCTTATATATATTATAATATATAATATAAAGTAGTAGTCTCCAGTCTTTTAGCATAGGGCGGATTAAGTTTCGACATAGTAAAAAAATGGGCATATCATAAATTTATTTTCCCTTTTTAAAATGGTCCCTCTGTGATGATGGCTGCCTGATTGTGACAAGTGGGTAACTTGATTCATTGGCCCCAAGCAAAGCATTGAGCTGTGTGGTGGCATATAAACGAAGGTTGTGCTATAGGCAAAAGGGACGGATGATGCATTTGCCCTGAGCAGGGAGATGTCAGGGCCAGAGAAAGGGAAAAGTGGTGAAATGGCTGCAAGCAGGAGAGTTGCAGGCAATGGCCTTTGCTCTAAATACAGCGGCTGCAGAGCCTGGCCAGCAGATCTGGAAAACTGCTTTTGTCCCCCCACTCTGTGCTTTCAGTCATATTTAGGGATACAAGGAAGATTCACGCAGATGGTTATGTAAGTTGTAGATCATGCAGCAGAGCTGTTCCAAGGCTCAACAGTTAAACAGATCGGTTGGTTGTTTAAGAATGGATGACTGCCCCCTAATAAAACTTCTTTTTAAGAATTGTGAAACTGTTAATTTTAAATCTGAAAGCATCCCTGTTGGAAACTGTTTTTAACTCTAGTGCGGCCGCAACCCACTCATCCTGCAGCAGACTCAGGCTTTAGTAGAGAAAGCTTTCCATTTAGCCTCCCAGAGTGCTGACATTGCCACGGAACTAGGCTACCAGATGATTTTGCAAGGGAAAATAACGGAAGCTATGAAGTGGTACAAGGCTGCCATGGCTCTCGATGAAACAAGTGTTCCTGCGCTGACCGGTATGGCTTGAAACACATATAATGGTTTCGTGAGGATTTAAAACTTAATTTGGTTTTTTCCCGAGTATTCTTTTATAATACAGTGGGGTCTCGACTTACGAACGACCTTACTTGCGAACAATTCAACTTACGAACCCGCCCTATAGGGGAAATAAGGACTCGACATGCAAACTTCCCTCGAGTTACGGACAGGAAAAAAAGTGCCCCCTCCCTCCCCTTAGAGGCTTCTGGAGGTGAAAAAAGGGTCAGAAACTTAAAAATAAATAAAAGAAAGTCACTTACCAGGCCTTGGTAGCCCCCAAACAGCAGGAAAAAGAGCAGGAAACAGCTAAAAGCCAACACCCAGAAGGGAGTCTGGCAGCCATTTTGTGCTTTTCCCCACTCCTGCACCCTTCTCTCCCCGCCTATCAGCTGATCGGCTGGCTCTGAAGAGGCTTGGGGAGGCTTGCTCAGCACCTAAAAAGCCTGCCTGTGTGTCTTTGTG